TAGAGTGCGGTGCTGATAACACCAAGGCCACGGGTTCGGATCCCATATAGGGATGGCCAGTTAGCTCACTGGGTGAGCGTGGTGCTGACAACACCAAGTCAAGGGTTAAGATCCCCTTCCCGGTCTTTTTTTTTTTTTTTTAAAGAAGACCGGTAAGGGGATCTTAACCCTTGACTTGGTGTTGTCAGCACCACGCTCACCCAGTGAGCTAACTGGCCATCCCTATATGGGATCCGAACCCGTGGCCTTGGTGTTATCAGCACCGCACTCTACCGAGTGAGCCACGGGCCGGCCCCAAGTCCAGATTTTATATACGATAAAGTTTTGACAACTCAGTTATAGAAAGTTCTTTTGGATTTTCTTAACTCAGGATTAGGTTGACCAAAAGAGTCTCTTGGTTTCAACCCTTGGCACTGAAAATCATTCTAAACTGTCTGAATCCACTCACTTGCTCTAAGTTCATTCTGCTGAATACATGGGGTTTGCTTTTTTTTTTTTTCCTTTTTGTCTTTTTTACTGACCGGTAACGGGATCGCAACCCTCGGTGTCGCGCCCGTACCGGGACCGGCAACGGGATCGCAACCCTCGGTGTTGCGCCCGCACCTCGCTCAGCCAGTGAGAGGGAACTGGTCTCCACATGGGATCTGAACCCTCAGCGGGAGCGCCGCTGTACTCCCAAGCGGCGCACTCTCCAGTGCGCCACCGGGCTGGCCCGGGGGGGTTTGCTTTTTGATAGCCAAGGATCTTAGAACACTTTAGAGCTTTGTAGGTCAAAGAGCTAAGTGCTTAGAGGAAAACTTCCCAAGGCAAAACCTTCACAATCCAGCATTGCATTGTAAATCAGGACACCACTGGAGCCAAGAAAAGTGACTCAAAGTAACCACACTCATGGGAGACTGAGGCAATTATTTGCATAGCAATTTATTAATTTATAATCAGGATAGTGTTCCGAGACCATAAGATATCAATATCCCCCATCCAGAAAAGCCCTTTCCCTATGCTGGAAGGCAAAAAATTCATCAGCAGGTAGCTTTGTAGACATGGAGTCAGTCTTGAGGACCACTTCACTAAGGTTGACTAAGCACCACTTAGTGACCAGACTTGTGCCAAACGTAGCATCTGCCAACCTCTGCAATTTGAGCTTCCCTTTTCTAGGGTCCCGATTAACCATTGTTCTTTGATGCACATCATCTTTATCTGGAAACACTCCAGTTGATTCTACTCCTACTTACTCGATTATAATCACAATCCAGTCCTGCCTTTCTGAAGTTTCACTGGGTCACCATGATAGGAACTCTTCAGGGGTCCACTTATGTCCTGACCCTACTGGTGGCTAATCTGACTCTTCCTTTTTGAGTTTTACTAGTTAACCCGCAGAAACAGCCATATTTTTCTAATGTTCAAGTTCTTGGGCCCCCTCATAGATACTATCTAGTGTTACAAAGAGGGGTACTTGCTTGAATCATGAATTTATGACAGTGGCAAAAGAAAAAGTATATGACTTTGAATAAATTAATATTGGCCTCAACACATACTTAGGGAATAGATTTCTCATGGGGGCTTGTCATGTTTCTTTTTATTTGAAAACACAACATAGACAACATTTCTGTTATTCAAGGCATTCTATTAAGGGCAAATTGAGTTTTGAAGATATTACTTCTATTAAGGACAAACTCTCTGACTAAATCCTATTTTGTTTCCCTATCTCAACATCTATACCTTTGTTTCGTGGGTGTAAGTCTTATTACATTTAAACCCTTGCCCTTATTTTCTGCCTGTGTTTATCTACTTCCAACTGTCCTGGTTTTCCTGTCTCTGTTTTTTTTCCCCTCCTTTGTGCCCCAGTTATTATGATTCTATGATGGAAATCTCTCACAATTCCTCTCTCTTTTTTTTCACATCTGTATTGTTTCGTTTGTTCTCTCTTCATCTGTGTTTCCTCCTCCTCTTTGTTCCTTCCTTTGGGTATTTATTTAATTGTTCACCCCCCATCCCCTCTGTGATTCCCCTCGTCAGTCCCTCCGCCTATTCTTCTATCTCAATTTACATCCCTGACTCTGACTTTTCTCATCTTCCTACCAGCCTCTGCCTATCAGTTACTGTCAGGCTTTGTCTTTGTGTTCTGCACTGTAGCTGTTTGTCCTTTGTCCCTCTGCCTGACTCCAATTCGACATATTTCCTGCTTCTCGTTTCTGTCGGTGAATCTCTGCTGACTGCCCCCTCCGCCTTCTGCTCTTCTGCTCCTCAGCTCCCCTGGCTAATCCCCCCTCGGCTCTGTTTCCACCTCTCTCTTCCCTCGCTCTGCTAATCTCTCTGTCTGCCACTCTTACCTCCATCTCTCCTGAGCCTGGTTGTTCCTTCTTGTCACTCTCACTATTTCACTGTCCAGACTATCTGTGCCTTCCACCCTTGGGGACTCTTCCTGTCAGCCTTTATTTCTATTTTTCTTGTCCTCTTTGTTTAGGACCATTTCACCAATTCTATGATTTTGGTTCCTCTCAGCATCTAAGGTGGTCTTTCTCAATATTTCTGCCAAGGCTTCTCTTTCTCTCTTGTCTTCAATCTCTCTTTGCCTCTGTCTCCTCTATGCAATTAATCCTTCTCTCTGTCTGTCCCTCAGCCTATGGGTGTCTGTCTCACTCATCCTTTTTGTCTTTCTCTTTCTCGCAGCTTCTTAGCAAGATTCCTTTTTTTTTTTTTTTAAATCTTCCTGTCTCTTGCTTTTGCTCATGTATCTTTCCTGTGGATGATTAAGGGTTATCTCTTTCTGCCCCTTGTTTAGGAGAATATCAACTTTAATCTGCTCTACACTTTCCATAATCTGAATGTTCTCACTGAGAAGGGAGGGGTCTTGTACAATAGAAAAACCGCAGCAGAAAAGCTACAGTAGAAAAAATGAAGCTTCAGGGGAGGAAGGAGAGCTAGCAAATGAATCCCAGAAAAGGGTCAGCTATCCCTTTACCCCTCTACAGCCAGTGCGAGCCTCCTCTCACCTGCTCAGCCTCTGCCTTCATTCTTCCATGAAAGCCTGGGCTCGGGAAGATCTACCCTGGGCACCCAGAATGGGTATTTGAGGCCCTTCTATGGCTCTGGACTTCAGTGCTGTCCTAAGAAGACAGGTCTAGCCCCATGCGCATTCTTCCAAGAATCTGTATTTTCTCTGAAAAGGTCAGAAGATACTAAAAAAAAAAAAATTAAAGTCTGGACACAGTAAGATTAGGGTTAAGTACAAACACAATAGTGTGGCTTTGAGAACCAGAAATATCAGCAGCAATTGCTGTGGCCCAGATTCTGTCTCTTGGCAACTATCTTGTCCATCCCTACTGGTTACAGATTGCACCTCTTGTGCCCTCTTCCCACTTCCAGAATCAGAATTTGGTCATAGGTGAGGTCTCTCTTCCCTCTGATCCCACCTCCTCCATACCACATCTCTCTGATTCTAGTAGGACCTCACCTTCTCTCATCTGTCCCTGTGCTAAAGCAAAGGGTTTCTGTTCCCATTGGCAGTTTCTTCCAGCTTCATGCCTCCTGCCACTCTTTATTAATAGCTTTGACTGTACCTCTTGAGTTTGTTTGCTGGAAAGGGTGGTCATCTGATGGTGGAATTCAGTGAACAGTAACCTGATTTCCTACCCATCCACCAACATCAGCATTTCTTCTTAAATCCTAGGAAGGGGGAGGGATGTGAGTTAGCTGGAAGAGGAACTGAGGTACTGATAATCCAGTCCATCCTATACCCTAATGTGCACCGAATACCACCATCTCCTTGTTCTGGCCCCATCTCCCACAAGGCCAGCAGAAGAGGAGCCTGTGGTTTCTCTCTAGTATTTCAGGCTGACAGTGAAATTGTTCCTGGTGACAGGCTCACCATCACAACATGTCCTGGTCCTCCTGGTTTCCTTGTGCCCAGGGATGGGCGAGTGGGGCCGAGACTGCAGAACATCATTGACCAGAATACGGATACCCAGTGTGATGCTCATGACACCCACAATGACCAGCCCAGTTCCACCAAGGACAACCAGAGAAAAAGGCACCTGATGGTGCTCCCGGAACAGCCACAGACTCATCCACCCCAGCGGTACCAGGCGGAAGAGGGCCAGGGTGGCCAGGGTGGCCCAGCTGGTCACGCTGAAGGCCAGGGATGGGGCCTGGTGAGAAAGCAGTAGCAGCTTCCGCAGATGCAAACAGGCAGAGTTCAGCTCCAGCAGCAGAGACACCACGGAGAAGCCCACGAACTGGCCAGACAGAACAGCGATGCTGAGACAGCTCACTACCTGGGGACCAGGGTCAGAGGACCTTCCATGACCTGCTGCCTACCATGTCCCAATTTCCCAGTCCTTAAGAAAGAGGCTCCCAAGCATTTTGTGGGACACCCCCCAAACACCTGACCTTTATGCCTACCTTTATCCTGGGGGCCAGAGAGGCCTTAAAACAACCCTTCCATAGGATGGAAGCAGCCTTGGCCCAGGGGCTGTCTCACCCTGAGGCTGCAGCATCCACACAGTACCCTCTAGCTGCCATTCCTGGGCTTTCATGCCCCATCCCCGTACTCTATACCAGGGCTTCTCCTTGTCAGAAAAGCTCCATATTCAATGTCTCTGTGATCAACTGGACACCCGTGGGGGATTCAAGCTCCTTAGGCAGTGCCCAGACTCCCAGCTGTCCAGCTATGGCCAACAGTCAAACTTCTCCCCTCCCTCAATTCCACCTAAGATTGTGAGGATCAAGCACCACCTAGGGTCAGAGACTCTGTGGGAATCAGAGAACAGAAAGCTGAAGAGAGATTGGGGACCCCAGGCTGACATGCCTCCCTTCCTGTCTGGCCTCTCCCCTCAGAGTCTCACCACCAAATGGTGACAGAGAAGTTCCCAGGCCTGGCCCAAGGTCTGGTTCCACAGCATGTCAGCTCCATCTGCCAGGAAATAACCTGTGGACATGGGGTGGGAGGGTTAGGTTTCTCCAGATCTGGTGCACAGCCTAGAGAGAAATCTCGAGCCCCCTCTTCCAGTTCTTTAGTTGCCCTCAGTAAAGCCTCCAGAAACATTTAACCTCTGTGGGGGAGGGGAAGGAAAACTGGAATTACAGTTAGAGGTTAGACAGTTGCGACACTGGCCCAGCCTTCCCTGCAAACTCACCCACAGACACAGCCACCAGCACCAGGGCCCAGGGAGGGTGGCCATTAATCGGGTCGGCGGCCATCTGAGGGTACAGCGACAACCTGTGGGAGATGGAGGAGCCACGGTCAGCCTCTCGAAGACCCAGACCCATTTTCCCACTGTGCACTCCTTCCCACCCATCCACGTCCCCCACCCCAGTCTCTGACTCAAGGTCTCTCTTCAGTTCTAAAGGTGGCTGCCCGGTCTTCTAACTTCGGCCTTCCACGCCCTCACCCTCACCCCAGTGCCTCTGGAACCCCAAGCCCCGCACCCGAGCAGCGCCCCAGCGCCCGAGAGCAGGCTGTGCACCAGAGAGGCACAGATGTTGCGCCACTTCCAACGGTTCTGGGCAGCAGGTCCCGGCGTGGGCAGCAGCTGCAGCCCCCAGTGCAGCCCCCGGAACGCGGCGAAGGAGGCGCCAGTCACGAGGAGCCCCGAGGGCTCCATGGCCTGGAGGGCCGGCTAGGTCCCGATTGTTCCTTTGGCCCTGGAGTTCTCCGGCCGGACGCATCCGAAGTCCCCGACGGGGATTGTGAGCCGACTTCCCGATACGGCTGGGTTCCTGGTCTCCCCCGCCCGCCCCGCCTCGGTAATCTGCTGTAACTTTTCCCCGGCTTGTCCACGCCCCGATTCCTCTGCTGGGCGCTGATTGGAGCAGCCGTTGGGCCACCGCCCCTAGAGCCACAGCAACCGATCGCGTCCGGCCCTACCCGGGAACTGCGGTCTGGGGGCTCCAGGGCACAAAGCCGTGCCACGGAGCTCAGAACTTCCGAGATGTCAATAGAAGTCTCCGACTCCATGTGTGCCCCAAATCCTTCGGAGTTTCAGAAATGGGTTGCTAGTCTAATCTCACCTGACATCTCGGGGGTCCCACCCCACTAACTTTCCCCTCCTCTTCCCCACTCCCTCATCTCTCACCTGCTAACCCACCCTTACAGCCCTAAAGGTAGAGGAAAGCACAACCCACTCCCATTTGCCCAAACCCTGCCACCACACTGCCTAGCCTTCCCTCCCAGCCTCAGTTGTAGGGGAGGGGACGCCTCATTTCCTTGGAACCACTCCTTCTGCCTCTCGAGGTTCCCAGGCCTTTAACCCACCCCCGCAAATCTATGACCCCAGGAGTCCTGGCCCCTAACACAGATAGTACCTCTCAAACAGAACAGCAGTCCTCATTAGGGAAAGCGACCCACTGGGGAACCCCCCCCCCCCTTTTTTTTTTTTTTTTTTCCCTACAGAGAAGCCTTATTAGGAAAGAGAGGCAAAAGGCAATCACTCATCACTATAGTCTGGAAGAGCACCGCACCCCCCACCCCCCCACCAGGTCTTGGTACTTGGTGGGTGGGTAGAATCTCTCTTCCAATCTGAGAACAAGGAGAGGTAACACAGGGTCACCTCAAGGTTGGGGCAGAATCGGAAGAGAAAAACAAAGACCCATCGTGCTTTCAGCAGCAGGCCTATTAGGATTCTAGAATACTTCAGCCTTGAGAGGAAAATCCTCCCCCAACCCCTCATTCCCTGGAGTGACAGGTTTTTACTGTTTTCCTCCCATCTTACTCCACTCTACACCTCTTTAGCTGGCTGACAGCCAGCAATTCAGAGAACTGTTTTCTGTTTGCTGAAAGGGTGGATTCCAGCTATCCCTAAAGACTGAGGTTCATAAACCAAGAGATGCCCCAACCAAACATCCTTAGCAAGGGGCTGGGGGCTTCCCTTCATTCTTCAACACTCATTTCTCCAAACGTTTAAGAATTACACTGATCTTTTAAATTTTATTTATGATATGAAAGCAATATACAGTTAATGTAGAAAATTTGGAAATAACAGAAAAAACAAAGAGGAAAATTACAATTACTTTATTCCACTATCCAAAGATAACCACTATTAACATTTTTGAGTATGTCTTCAGTTTTTTTTTATCATTCTACGTATACAAGTATATAACCACATTAAAAAAAAACATTTTTAAATTTAAAATTGAGATCACATAATACACACTATTTTTATAACCTTCTTAATATTCAAAGAGCATTTTTCTTTCCAGTCAAATGTTCTTCTACATGACTTTTAATGGTTGCACAGTACTCCACCATCTGGATGGATATACAATAATTTACTTAAGCAATCCCCTATTGCAAATTTTCATTACAGCAGAAAAGGAATGAATTCCCAATCAGACAGTTGCTTCCCATTTTTCTGTATTGAAATGCTGGTGTGAACATCTTATAACTCAATCCTTAATTATTTTCTTAGGATAAATTCCCCAAAGTAGGATTACTAAGTCAAAGGACATAGAAACTTTTAGGATGTTTGACATATTGTCAAATGCCATCCAGGAAGTTCTGTACCCATTTATACACCTATATGCAATGTATGGGAGTGTTCTTTCAGTACTCTTTTGCCAATATCGGGTCATATGTTTTTGTTACAGTTTGCTAAGGGAAAAATACTTTCAGCTATATTTGCCCTTATTCACTAGTGAAGCATACATTTTTTTTCAGTTTTGTCCATCTAAATTTCTTTTATGAATTTCCTGTGTATGTCCTTTCACAGCTGGCTCTTGCAAAAATTACAGGGTGGGGAAGAAGTAGAAGTAGGAGGGTAGAAGCCACAGGACACTTCACTATTGTCCCATATCTCTGAGGGAGGCAGGACACTGGAGAGAAATGGTGAGTGAAGTAGGAGATGGCTGGAAGCTTGTCCTTAATGAAGACTGGCTGTTCTCCCTCTTCCTGGGGTGCTCCTGGCCTTCGTGGGCCCCTCTGCTAGATTCCCAGAGAGAGCCCTGTGCTCTCCAGGCCTGGTCCTTCACTGGTCTTTTGCCTGCCTCTGTGTTCTGGGCTGCCCTTCCTCACCTCTGCCCCATGATGGTTGAAGATGGCACAGCCATGTAGTCAAGGCTGGAGTGAGACACTGTGGCCAGTGAAGCGAGGAAGAGAAGAAAGTACGGAGGCAATGTCCAGAGACAGAGTGATCTTTGTTGGAGCCAATGAGTAGAATCAGTCTACCCACCCCCCGCTACCATTGTCCCACACATTTCCTGCCCTTCAGCTTAGGCTGCAGAGGGGCTGGGTTCAATGGTCTGCTCTCCCCTTTCAGTTTCTCATAAATGGAGAATAGCATAGAGCTCCCTACACATCTCGTCTCACCAAACAGAACAGTTTACTGTAGCCCCTGTATTTGGCCATCTTCAGGTAGGAAGACTGGGCCAAAGTTGACCCAAACCAGAGCCTGAGCCCAAGAGAGACCGGATCAGGAGCTGGAGGTGGCAGGTTTATGATGCCTGATGCCCCAAAGTGGGTCACATCCCACAACCTATGTTCCCTGCCTGCTGGAGGGGAGAATTTCCTGCACAGGTCTGAGCTGTCTCACACATCATCCTAGAAAGCAAAGTGAAGGAAGAAACAGAGCAGTAGCAGCTAGAACCCCAACAGGGGCTGCCATACTGATTTGGATGGCAGGGGAAACCTTGGGCCACCCTTGCATGGTGGGAGGTCAGTGTAGAGACTGAACTCCTATTAGCTCCTTGCATTGGTCTGACCCTAGCCCCTGCCTCCAAATGCCCACCCTTTCTAGCTCCTGGGATTATACTGTCAGGGATGGGGGAGAGACAACAGTTTATGTGAAAAACTGGTTTTTTCCCCACCTACAGGGAGAGGTATGCCCAGGCTGAGTCTGCACAGGTGGGCTTCCAATTCCCTCATACACATTCATCTGTGCAATTCTCCATCTCACAGGTGGAGAAACTGGGACAGGAGGTCTAAAGGTCCCAGATATAGGTAAGAACCCTTGAATCTAGAGTCTGGGCCAGTCTATAGAAATACAGGGAAAGTTAAGAGCAGAGGGATGACTACTCAGATTGGAGTTTCAGTACTACCTTTTCCCTGAAGAGTAAACTTATTTTTGGACCTCACCTGGAAAGGCCAGTAGGGAAGAATGGGAAATAATGAAGGAGGGCCAAGAAGGAAATCTGGTGAAGAAGTAGACAGTTTTCTTCTCTCTACTTCCCACTGTCACAGGAAGACAATTAACCTTGGGTAGTCAGGCAGTTGAGTCACATATTCCCCAATTTAAAACTACTCTTTTGCTGGGCCGATCTGGGTGAAGACTCTCCAATTGAGCAGGGTTCCCTTTCCCAAAAGGTATCATCACACCTAATATTCAGACCTTCCCAGCCCCATTTCTGTCACCTTCCAGATAATGGGAAAAGCAGCTCCTTTTCCTCTTCTTCTTCCTCCTCCTTGAAGCCAGGGGCAGAGGGCAACAGTTCTTCAACTGGCAGCTTTAGCTGGGTCAGGACATAAAGCTTGCCACTGAAGAACTACTGCGGCTCAGCCAGGTGAGGATGTGGGAGGAACAGGCTCCTAAAGGGAAGGGGAAGAAAAATGGAAAAGATCTGAGCAGGGCTATGTCACAGGGATACTATGTCACTGGCCCCAGTAGACCTTTGACCTTCTAATGAAGGGTTCTTGGCTCTGGTCTGGGCCTGTAGGAGCTGTTAACTTTAGTGAGAACCAAGAGGCAGCTCTAAAGGGGCTTCTCTTGCTCCTCTTTTCCGTACTGGAAGCTATCGAAATCCAGGACTGTTCTCTCTCACAAACACATACCCCACCATAGCAATCCCTGGGGGCCCCAACCTTCTCAGCCTTATGATAGGGCATGGCCTGGGACCCTGGTCACACCCCATTAGTTACCCAGGTACTAGGTGAGAAGTTGTATCTCAGGTCCAGAAATGTGAATTCAGTGATCAGCCCAACTGACTTGTTCACAGGGTTTCAGCTGGAAGGAGAGTTTTGGGGGCCTATACTGGGGAAGAGTGAGGAAGGGAGGAGGTCTAGAGTTTGGAAGAAGGTCAGCAGAAGCTCCCAGGACTGTGAGGGAAAGGACAGTCGACTGAAGGCTGCAGGAGAGGGAGATATGGGCAGGGTGGTTGGGCAGCCTCCCCAGGACTCTCAGATGCCAGGCATTCCGCATGCACATTCCGGGTACATCTGGTATGAATTCCAGGCTGTCTGCCGGCCCCTCCATGTCTGAACTTTGTTCCAAGTTCCAAGCCCCGCCCCCACAGTTCCAACGCATGAATCAGCAGGAAAAGCCGGGCCCTGCAGCATGGCCCAGGGAGGGGGCTGGGGGCGTGGCAGGCTTGAAGGCTGTGAGACGGGGAGGGCGGTTCCGCACTGACACTCAGTCCAAGGGCATGGCCCATGCCAGATTGAGGGGCCAAGGCGGTCTTAACTTGGGATTTCTACACTCAGAGGGTAAGAAAGTTGCGGGGTGGTGGAGGGAGAGGCGGGGTCCAAATTCCCAAACCCTCTTGGGAGACACGAACTTTGTGGTATCTTGCTCCCTCTAGATGACCAGTCCAACTATGTTCGTTCGACTCCTCTCCGTCTGAGACTGCTATTTAGCCTACAGGACTCAGCAGCTGCTGAGGGTCTGTGCCAAGCAGGTGCCCTTGGCTGCAGGGCGGGGTGGACCCAGGGCACTGACCCTCTGACCAGCTGCTCTATCAACCCTTTGGCACCCTGACAGCTCCTAGCCCAGTCTGACAGCCAGGATGACAGGTCAAATAAGTTGGAGGCTGGAACTAGGGTCGGAGGGACGTGGGGGCGATAGCCTAGCCGGAGGCCACGGGGAGGGGCCAAGAGTTGGCCGGGAGGTGGGGAGAGAGGGAGCCCAGCGATGACTAACCCAGGCGCCCCACCCAGCCAGCCGGCTTCCTAGGCGGTCAGGGCCAGGCCCGGGCTAGGGGCCTCACAACCGGACAGGCGGGGGGGAGGTGCAGAGGTGACCTTCTCTCGGCCCAAGACAGCCAGTTAGGCTGGGGAGTGGGGGGTTAGAATTTCCAGGTCCTCCTCCTGTCCGCTTTCCCTCCCGCCCAACCGCGGTGAAACCCTAACCTTTGGGTTGCATAAGGCCCTCGCACCGCCGCCCCCTACTCCTCTCCCCTCCCCCCTTACATAACATGCCCTGGAGGGAACGAGAGGAGGGGCCGGCCCGCCCAGCGACCCCTTCCCTGCCAGGGCGCTGAACTGGCCTGAGCCAGTGAGCGGCGGCGGAGGCAAAGCGCTTCCCCGCTACCCGCTCCGTCCAGATCCTTCCCCGGCTGGATGGCCGGCTCCCGCATCCTCGGGCCTGAGGGCGGCGGGGTTAGCCGCTCCCGGCCCTCCGGTCCCTCGTCTTCTCCCCAGCTACTCCACGAGACCTTCTGCCACAACTCCTGCCCCGGACTCTTTCTTTAAACCTCCTGACACACTATTCCGACCAGTCCAGGCCCCTCTCTCTGGAGCGCCCCTGCCCCCGCCGCCCCCTCTCCCCTCCCCCGGCAGGGCAGGGTGTGGCCGCCAGGACTCTACTTTCCCCCATCATCCCGTTACCACGATTCTCCCCTGTTGACCGGGTCGCCAACTCACACCCACCTGGTGCTGGGTGTGGGGGGTGCCGAGGGTAGGGGAGCAAATCACTGCGTCCGCTCCCCACAGCCGGCGGCGCTGTCTCTTCCCAGCGCCCAGCACACACCGGCTCCAGTCTCCGATCAGCTGGCGGCGTCGTGACGCACAAGCTGCGATTGCACCGCCCAGGGCCAATCACCGCCCACTGCTGGGCAACGTGACCACGCCCACCCGGGGGTCGCCGGCGCTACGCCCTGGTCCCGCCTCTCCTGACGCCTTGGCTCTGATTGGCAAAGAGGCCAGCCCTTTGCCGAGTGGAGTTGCGCTAAGCCACGCCCACCAACCCACAAGCTGGCCAATAGATGAAAAGATGTGACCCAGCCCTCCGCCAAAGCGGCTTGCTTAGAAGAGCGCTACGTCAAACCAGAGTCCTAAAGAGCAGAAGGAAGTGAAGGCGTGTGTGTTTGCAGAGCATAGTGGTCAATGTAGTTCTCGGTGTGACACCCTCGTTCCCAGAATCCAGCGCGCTCTGTGAGTTGGCATTTTTAAACTGATCTCTGAATTTTAAGGACATCCCGGGGAAGTCCTTAAAGGGCTACAGCCCCCTCCTTTTTGGAGCCGTGCTTCTTTTTAGACAACCCCAAAACTGATTCGCTGGTCTCCGCAGGAGGGTATAGTCCTCTAAGGACAGGTGGAGCAGGCAAAGTAGCAGGAGTGGGCAGAACTGAAGGTAGATATCAACCCCCAGGGCAGCAGAGATTCTTCAGATGGAGAACTCCTGAGGGCTTTTGGAGGAGGAAGGATTGCTCACCCCGCCCTGACCCAGCTTTCACTGGAGAGAGCAAGTCCACCCCTCCTGGGGGAGTCTTTCCTAATCAGAGGAGCCTTTTCTTGTAGATGTCTCGTCCCAGTCGCAGAAGAGCCCCAGAGCCTCTCAAGAGGTAGCTTCCTAACAAAAGATTCATAGTACAGCCCTCACTAAGGTAGAGGGAAAGCTTCTGGTCACAAATTAGGGGATGGGTCGTGCTAAAGTGCAACTGGTCAGCAAACCCATCCTCTAATTAACCCCTGTCCCGCCCTCCAAAGCTCTTCACTGACTCAGGCCTACTTGGAGTAGAGATTTCAAAGGTGGAGACCAATACGGAGACTGCTCCTTCCCCAGGGGCCAATCAGAGTCTAGAGGTGCGGGGGATGGGCAAAAACTGAAAGGAACCCAATGACTTGGCAAAAGCTGTTGAACTTCTTATTTAAAGGGGCAAACCTGATGCTCACCCCACCTCATCACTCGCCCCTACCACCATCACCAAAAAGGGACCTGTGGACAGGGATCCGTGACTTTTCCATAAGTTCCAAATTGGGGGTGAGGGTAATTGAGGCGGAGAGATGAGTTGTGATGTGAGATAGTCCCTTCTGTGCTAAATAGGGGCTCCGTGAGGTCACTGCTATGGTTCCTTGGAGCTCCAGGATTCTGAGCCTGTGTGTGCAGAACGTTGTGCCTTTAAGGAAAGTTCCTGCCTTCCACCCCAGTAACAGCTGATTGTTGGAAAGTGTGACCTCTGGGGACGAATCAGCTGTCACCACATCCTCCTCCTTGCCTGCCCTCTTCCATCCCCTATCCACCACCCTCACATGGGTGGTGAGGGAAGGAAGGAAATGGAACCCCATATATGGGGGACAGGATTGTATGATCTTTCCTCTTCCCCGTGACTCCACGACTGTCTCAGCCCCTCCCCCATCTGCTCGTTCTTTAGAGGTTCTGAGCTTGGAACGAGAGGTATTTCCTGTCAGCACAGTCAGCTCAGACTGGCCCTCCCTGGTCTAGTGGGGAGGCCAGTATTGGGGAGGCCCAGAGTGGTGGCTGGCCGGGTGTGTGGGTGCTCCAAGAGTGGGTCAACTGGGAAGGGTACAGTGCAGCTGAGGAACAAGCCTCGGGAAGAGGAATGGCTATGGAAAGCAAACCTGGGGGTCTGCACCCTGCTTCCTTACTCCCTGATCAAGTTGCTCTATTCGTTCCCAGACAGGGGCCTGCTGAGGGGGTCCTCCTGGCTTTGCCCATTAGCTCCACTTCTATCTGTTCTCAGATGCTACCTGGTCCCTTGCTTTCTCCATTTTTTACTTTCAGCTGTACCCTGCCCACAACCCCAGCCCCCACTTTAAGGGTGCTAATGTGGAGCTGCCCAAGGCCTTCAGATGGAACACTGGCCCCAGAGGCTTTGGCTGGGAAGTCCAGCAGGAAGACCCAGGTGAATATTTTGCCTCAACCCTAAGCTGGGGGTCAGAGTCACTCCAGGACAAGCTTAGTGTGAAGTCCTAGGACTGACTTGGCAAGGTTGGGAGAAATTGAGTAGGGTCCTGTCCAAGCTAGGAAGAAAGAGAAGCCTCACCAGCTGCCCCCGTCCTCCATTATCCTTAGCATAGAAATCCCATCCACTTCCCACTCAAGGCCCTTCATATGGCTCTTCTCTATTTTGTTCTGCTCACTAACCAAAGGCCAAAAGCACAGGCTTTGAGTCCAGGATTTCTCAACCTCAGCACTATTGAAATTTTGAGCCAGATAATTTCTTGGTAGGGGGGCGGGGGGGCTGCCCTGTGCATAGTAGGGATTGAGCACCATCCCTGGCCTCTACCTTCCATGCAAGTAGCCACCCCCCCAATTATGACAACCAGAAGTATCTCCACTTTACCAAATGTCCCCTGGGGGCCAAAATCTCCCCCAGTTGAGTGCCAGCGAGTTAAGCAAACTTGGATTCAAATTCCAACTTTTACTAGCTGTCAACTGGTTGAAGACACTTTCCTCATCTACAAAATAGGGTGAATAGTCAATTCACGCTTTGTTGTAGGAATTAAAAAAGATTATGTTTGAAAACATGTAGCACAGTACCTGGCACACTGGCCCATAATTGGTGCACTGTTAGCTTCCTTCACTTTTCTTCCTGCTAGATCAGCAAAAGCTGACCTCACTCAGCATGGACTGACCGCCGGGGCAGCTGCAGCCTCCTTCCCTGACTGTCCAAGACATGACCTCCTGGAAACCCAATATTGAGGCTGGCAAAGGGGAGTGACTAATTTGGTCCCAGATTCCTCACAGCCCAAGGTGCTTGAGTTGGGATTCAGGGGGAGCTGTTTTGTGGGAGGAAGAGGCAAATTTGGGAGCAGAGCTATTATAGAGCATTATTTCTCAAGATGTGACCTGAAGATTGCAGCATCAGAATTACCTAGGGCGCTTGTTAAAAATTCAGATTCCTGGGGCCGGCCCCTTGGCTCACTCGGGAGAGTGCGGCACTGGTAGCGCTGAGGCCACGGGTTCGGATCCTATATAGAGATGGCCGGTATGCTCACTGGCTGAGTATGGTGCACACCGCACTGTGCCGAGGGTTGCGATCCCCTTACCGGTCAGAAAAAAAAAAAAAAAAAAAAATTCAGATTCCTGGGTCTCAACCCAGACTACTGATCAGAGTACACCCTAAAGCTTGAAAATTGGTGCTCTAGGGCTCAGATCTGGGAAGATGTTGATGCCCTAGAAATCTCAGTGCACCACTGCCCAGCATTGCAAGAACATCTCTATTCTAGGGAGGGAAAGGAGAATTCCAAGAGGTAAAGTTAGGTACCCTCAAGGTCACTGCTGCAGGGTAAAGCTAACACCACTAGAGGGCAGGGCACCCACAGACTTGCAGAAGAGAAAGTAGTGCCTGCACAGTCTAAAACTGGGACCAGAGCAAACATCAGGTAGACCCAGTTTTATTGGAAATAAGAAGCGGGCATTATCTCCTGACCATCAAAACATGTCCTCTGGGCCAGCCTGTGGCTCAACTGGGAGAGTGTGGTGCTGATGACACCAGAGCCATGGGTTCGGATCCCATGTAGGGATGGCTGGTTTGCTCACTTGGGAGAGCGTGGTGCTGACAACACCAAGTCAAGGGTTAAGATCCCCTTACCGGTCATCTTAAAAAACAACAACAACAACAAAAAACCCCCCCATGTCCTCTGGTTTCAGGTACACAGTTAAAAGTTGGGGTTGAGGGATTGTCACGGGACTTTTCATTTCCCAGATGAAAAAACATTACTGCACAGCCAAGGACTACAGAGAACACTGGTTTTAAAATGAGACAGGCCAACTCTACTGCTTCTTAGCTTCTTATATGACCTTAAACAAGTTACCCAAGGTAGTTAGTCAGCTTCCTCATCCTAAAATGGGTATAAAAATATCTTTTAAAAAGGGTTGTGATGATTAAACAAAACAAGTTATGCAAAGTGCTTAGAGGGTGACTGGCTCCTGGTAAGTTCCATAAATGGTGGTTATAAGTGATTACTGCCCAAGGTCATCAGACCAAGCACACCAGGGGCTCCAGCTGCCCCCTTCAAGAGACTGATGAATCAGAGCATGACTGAGCCATTCCTGCTCTCTTTCTCATTAGGCCTTTTGTTTTCTTAAGTGCCTTGATAGGACACTCATACCTCTACACCAAACCCCTACGTGAGGCAAACTCTCCTTCTAGGAGTCAGAATCAAAAAAACAGCCAGTGGTTTCCTTGCAGACAATGGCCTATCTGTCCTGCAAATGAGTCAGAACTAGGACCCCTTGATCTTTTTTTTTTCCTTTTTGTCTTTTTTACTGACTGGTAACGGGATCGCAACCCTCGGTGCTGCTTCCGCACCGCGCTCAGCCAGTGAGCGGGAACCGGTCTCCACATGGGATCCGAACCCTCGGCGGGAGCGCCGCTGTGCTCCCAAGCGGCACACTCTCCAGTGCGCCACCGGGCCGGCCCTCCCCTTGATCTTTTTTTGCTGTCAGCTCTCTGGTTTCTCTTCCCTAACCTGTGCTGCACCCTCCCCCCAGTCACAGTGGCACCTGCAAGGCTCTGACCACAGCTGGTGGGCTCTGTGGCACCGCTGAAGCAGATCTTCAACGGGAAGTCTTGGGGGAACATTTCCTCCTAGGAACTCCGGTCTCTGGGCTTGGGCCACTTCTCTCTCTCAGATACTCCAGAATTTTTTTGTTGTTTTTAAAAAGGCCGTTAGAGGGCTGTAAGGAGGGAGGGCTTCAGGGCAGAAAGAAGTCTGGGCACCAGTCTCTAAGTCTCCAT